TCATGGGAATGGACTTGCTTGGTGTCTGTCCTCTCACCTTAGTGTACACACCACCGAGGCAGGGACTTCGTTAGTCTTGTTCTCCGTTCTGTCTCTAAGTGTTTAAACTATTTGTTGTATGAAAGAAATAACCCCAAGAGAATCCCTATTGTCATCTCCATTTTATAGGCTTTTCCAGGAAACAAAGCTTAGAGTGTTAATCACCTTGCCCGGGGTCACACAACCTTAAAGTGAACCCAGGGGTTCCTGACACTAAACCCATACTCTCAGCCATAACACACACTGACCATTGGTTGTGCTCACATAGATATGGGAGGGCGTGTGGAGTGATGGAAACAACCAAATGCAACCCTAAAAGATGGTTTAATTTATGAGGGAGGGTGGGGCATATTCTGACTGTTTGGTGTAGAAATGCTTTGCACTGTCTTGAACTGCTGGCTTGGTACTCTAGTCTTCCTCACACTGGCAGGATCTTGAGGCTCTGGTACCCACCTCCACAGCACAAAGGCTGAGAGGTTCCCTCACATCCTGACACCACTGCTCTCCATCAGACTTACTTATCTTCCTAGAAGATTTGGTCCTACCTTATTTTTTCATATTTTAACTGATATTATGAGACAAAAGTGTTCTATGGCAAAGGATTGTTGGAAATGCCTTAAACTAAGTTAAACACGCCTCTTTCCTGCAGAGCATACTGAAGTGTTAATCTGATTTTCATGTTAATTTCCAACAGGAGGAATTACAGCTTTTATAAAACTTGCATGTCTATCGATTCTGTTTTCATGAAGCAGAACTTGGGATTAGTATCCCAAGGAACACACTTTAGGAAATGCTTGTCTAATTGACCATTTTGCTAGCAACTAGCAAATTTCCCACTGTCTCGGAAATGTGATGGTTATAATGAAACAACATAAGGACATTACATTTTTGAAGAAAGAGTATCACCCATAATCCTACCTGGTTCCTAGTCAGACATTATTTTATGTTTGCATGTTTGTTTCCATGGCGTTCAGAGCATAGGCTCTGGAGTCAGAGACACATTAATTGAAAGTAAAACTCCACTTACTATTTTCTCTCATTAAAACTCCTAGCACAACACCTGGTATGTAGTATTTGCTCAATAAAAAGTAGTTTTAGCCCTAACTGGTTTTGCTCAGTGGATAGAGCGTCGGCCTGCAGACTGAAGGGTCCCAGGTTCGATTCCGGTCATGGGCATGTACCTTGGCTGCGGGCACATCCCCAGTAGGAAGGTGTGCAGGAAGCAGCTGATAGATGTTTCTAACTCTCTATTCCTCTCCCTTCCTCTCTGTAAAAAAAAATCAATAAAATATATTATTTTTAAAAAAGTAGCTTTAAAAAAATCCTGGTTTGCCCTAGCCCAGTGGTCGGCAAATTGCAGCTCGCGAGCCACATGCGGCTCTTTGGCCCCTTGAGTATGGCCACGAAGTTTTAATTGCACTGTACGTGCGCGTCTGCACGTGGAAGAGCCACACTCAAGGGGCCTCAGTTTGCCGACCACTGCCCTAGCCGGTTTGACTCAGTGGATAGAGCTTTGGCCTGTGGGCTGAAGGGTCCCAGGTTTAATTCTGGTCAAGGGTGTCAGAGTTGTGGGCTCAATTCCCAGTAGGGGGCGTGCAGGAGGCAGCTGATCAATGATTCTCTCTTATCATTGATGTTTCTATCTCTCTCTCTTCCTCTCTGAAATCAATAAAAATATAATTTTTAAAAAACCACAATCATTTATTCTTTCTTGTGTTTAAGAAATTATTCTAGCCCAGCTGGTGT